CCACCTGTGAAGAAAAGTAAACCTACTACAAAAATCAAACGCATAGCCCATTCTAGGATAGAACTCTGCGACCCCACAGTGAGGAAGATCAGAGTAAATGTTTGTGGGAAAAACCGATAGAACTTTAATACTATTTCGATAGATAGATGTGAGTGTACTGGAATTATTCGTAATTGAATACTTCTTGTTGGAAAAATAATTTGACCCGACACAACACAGAGGTGTAAACGTCTTCAAGGGGTTTTCATTACTTGACCCTTTTAACTGCCTCGGCGGCAGCGTAGGGCCGGAGCCAGCAGGAACTATCACAATGATACATGCTGCGCTAGCACGCGATGGTGGTTGATTGTGCAGTGAATAATACGAGCAAAAGGTCGAGCAAATACAGGTGGGCCTAACGAGAAGGAAACGACTTCATTGTCTGCTTCTGCAAGGTGTTGCGACGCTGTTCCTTTGAGAGCCTTCGCTCCGTCGAGAAAAGACACGCCGCTATAAATGCAGGTAATATTTGAAAATAAATAAAGTGTGAGCTACAGGATTCCGTAGCGGAATGCGTAGAATCATGAAGTGTCGAATAAATAGGGGGCTATCATTTAGCTGAATGTCACCTGGACTCAAAGCTTCCATTAGGTCTATCGTTGGAGAACAAACAATGTGTGTCCAAGCGCAGAAAGATCACGTCGCGACCTAGGACCTCTTGCGAACCTGTTTATATAAGTATACGAATTAACCCTCGCTGCTTTTGTTACGGAGCTCAGCTGTCGTAATCATTGTCGACGATCTAACCGACCGTTTAAAACTACTAGCTCAAATCGAGTGACTCATAGTGGTCGAACTACGTCTACGCGACCGATATGCTGAATGTTTCAAAGCTGACAAAATCCCTTCCGCACCGAGATTTCTCTTACCGGCAATGCAGCAGATTAGTGGGACATCAGATGGTCGATTTCTTTAATGATATAAATTACAAAATTCTTTCCAAACGGATTGTGATTATAGCATGTCTTTCAACGAAGACACATTTAAGAGTAAAAATCCCAGCACTTAATGGTGTTTATTGGTAGGTGCTTCTTTGTAAAACTAAGGGAAAGCATTGGCCAATTGTCTACGTATTCAATTGAGGAGAATTTCATGTCTACCGAATTCATATCGATGTACGGAAATGTCACTGCAAACAGAAATTAACTAGTCGCTGATTCACAGAATAGAAACTTTTCTAATTGCGAACTAAGAAACGTGTTTATTTGTGCCTCTAAACCTGTGAAGATTCGTACGCTACGATTTAGAGTCGACCTTCAGTATTACTTAGGAATCTTTCCGGTCGCTTCGCGTCTTCTAGATCGCTATATCACCACCCTTCTTTACCAACGAGTCGTTGGGAACTTTGCACAATAATAGCCGCACCGCTTCTGCTCGCTTATCTGTTTTTCCTTAACCGTGGTCGTGCTTCGTTGTACCATGTGGCATTTCGCTGCCAGGCGTTCGTCAATGGAGCAACGCGCCTGGATCAGACCGAGTGCTGTTATATTAAGCTAATGTGCGCACTCGAACGCAATCAAAAGCGTCATTTCTAGCCCCTTAAGCCAATGGTGTGCTCTACTCACTTTTCGTATGTGTACCGTGCCAATTGTGCGGAACGAATGTCAAAATGTTGAGATCTTTTTTAACTCCGGACGCTTCGTACAGCGAGCGAGCGAACGGCGCCAGGAGGAGGAAACAAACGCAGAAACATAGAAAGCATAACAAGATGGGGCTGCTGAAAGGGGAAGGGGGTAGGGGGTAGGGAGGAGGAGGAGGAGGAGGAGAAAACCACGAGATGAATACTAGGCGACAAACTGAATTCGAGGGCTCTTGTACTTCGATGGCTCCCACTGTTCACGTGATACGACGTTCTTTGTAAAGTCTTAGTTACCTAATTGATATGCTTTTTAACCAGGGAAAGAAGGGACAAAAAAAACGCTGAAAAAAGCGTGACTATAACAATACATCTCGCGTTCAAGGTAAGATCGGCAGAGCTTTCTGTGACATGATCTAGAAATTGAATTAATTTTTAGTGGTTTTTCTGTGTCGCCGGTACACGTCTTGGGTCACATCCACTAGGTTATGATGGAATGTAAATGTCGTCAACTACAGAGATGTTAGATGTGAAAGAGCGAATATAGATACCGTAAATGTAAATTGTTGCTCGGAAATCTACGTTGTCATGTGCCGTGGTAGCTAGTGCCTCTAGGTAAAACTCTTAATTCTTAAAAAAGGGGGTAGGTTCCTATTTGCCAGTAAGCCAGCTCCGGCAGTCGATGTACTATTAATGCAGAACAATCGATTATACTGTAACTTAAGTTTTATAGCTCCTATAGCTAGCTTAGCTAACCAGGTAATTCACCTATTATTTTTGTTCGCGAACCGTGAAATTGCAAAGCGTTTTAGTGTATCCATAGTGCTTATGATTAGATAATGGTTGCCATTTATTTTATGAAATATCCTTATGCGTCCGCGCGATAAAATACTCACCCTCATTTGCCACATCTCTGTTCAAGAACTGGCTTTATATTTCCACGACCTTCTCGTATTGAGTCAATGCTATTACGTAGGTTATTTGGGAGGGATCCAACGAGTCAGAAACATCAGCAATAAGCAGTAGGTAGAATGCAAATCAATTAAGATCACTCACGCTTGGTTTCAGGAGCTACGTTACCCATTTCAGGTAACCGCGAATTCTGTGCTTCGAGAGAGTCATCGAGCATTGACGCTGGATTTGAACAATATTATATACTAAGCTCTGAGGTTTAGAACTGTTTCAAAGAGCGTGCATCGCCTGATCTGAACTGAAACAGCTGTCTACGTCCGATCGTGCTTCAGCTAATTGCGAAAGATCTGATCAACTTCTTCTTCGCCGCATACAGAGCGTAGCTTCACGTTCGTTGTTCAAGTCGCTTAGGCATAGATTTCCACATGGTACAATTGACTGTCAAAAGTAGCGTCACCCCATTCGAATACACGGCCAGTTGAAGTCAATTGAGTGTTAAACGAGCGCCACGCCTCTAGCCGGTATCCACTTATACTCACAGGTACTCGAAATATTCGAACGTATAACAATATTGGTCTGCTGAGCTAGATTACCATTCTGACAATAGTGAAATTTCACGATCTCTCTAAACGGCTCAATTGTAATATTACTAGAACTTTTTTTTTACACCCTAAATTCGCTCCTATCTCGAAAAAAGTAGAACTGTTATAGCAAGCAAAGAACACCTTCAGATATTTCGTATTTTGCACTTCCATTTTCAGTGAAGCTTCTCTCATCTTATCTATTGGCTAGGTATATGTTTAGTTCTGTATAGGAAAACGTGCGGTGCGACGAACTTTACAAGAAATACAACTGATCATTGATACCTTGATGTTGTCTCTTTACATACAATCTAAGTTGATCCGTAGCGTATTTGTAGCTTTGCCTCTTTCGTATCCACATATTGTCTCATGGCTGCGTGAGGAAATCTACTTCAACGTCGCCGCGTCGCTTAGTACGAAGCTGCGATATATTATGAAGCACACATGATGGCGATCGCTCAAGAAGAATGCGTATATGTTTGACGACATTGACGGGAAGCTCTACATCTCTGTGAGTAGATACCTTTGTTTGTCTGCCTTTTGTGTACAGGGTGATTGTTTGTTTCCTGGTGGACAGCACGCACCAATGCCAAGAGTAGGCGGTATGTTGATCGTACGACATCACAGCACCACGAGGTGTTGATTGATTGTAGGTAGATTACTCACAGCATCAACGAGCAGAGGACCACTAAAACTTGATCGAACGATAATCAGATGAACCCTGATTTTTCGTTTAGCTGGCTTATTATAGCGGAAGGAAAAATCAGCTATCGTTGGCCGATTGAAACAGACCACCCCAGAGAGGCTAGACGCCTCCAGTAGTCAGAAGGCATAAAATAAACAGGCTGTATACGGCGGAACTAACAGGCGCATATTCTATTCCCGTCAATTCTAGCTAGCGAAAGAATGCTGTCAATAGAAATTACAAGGCGTTCAGATTAAGTATATTCACTGAGACAACTTAAAATACGTTATATGCTTGGGAGACGGTCTATTATCGAACAAAAGCTGCAAAAGCTTAAAACAGATAGACGCCATGTTAGGGCTTACGAAAGGCGGCTGGTAACAATCAATCAGAAGAGCTATTTGTAGTATTTCGATGTCAACGTAGATGCAAGAGACAGGCCTGTAAGCTTTGTAACCTGGCTGACCAGGTATTGCAATCAGTATCCCTGTCCATAAACTCCTTTGCCTGAACTAACTTCTATCTTTTATTTCGTAGCAATGGCACGCTGTAACAAAGTGATTCCTCAACGCTGACCCCGAGTAGAGAGAAGATGATTCCGTTACTCGTTTCGGCCTTTTATGCGCAAGTGGCTTAACAGAAAGATGAACGAACGTTAAACATTTTTGTCATTGACGAAGATACAGGTCATGTATCCCACCGTAACAGGGAAAAATTAGGGAAAATCCATTATAGTGACAAGCATCAAGCAGGTCAACTTTTGGTTATAGCCGATAGAAAAAGAAATCGGAACAAATAACACGATGAGATGTTTGCTTACCGACTGGCATTTTCGTTGGCATATCGAATTCTATAGGCTTTACACGATATGCGAGGCTTTCTAGGCTCAAATTGTCACGATCATCCAATAATAATAGCCAAGAAGGATTTTAAGCAAATAATTGACTCCTAGAGTTGGTGAGCGATGCATCACACTTTGATAGACCGTCTAACGCGAGTAGTCTTCTACTGAAATGTGGCTACTTAAAATGCACCTCGAATCCACTCCGTAACCTCGGTGAGCTCATTCAGTGTACTAGATAAAGATGCAGCTGACACCGGTTTTAGCTGCTCGGACCAGTTGTATTGGACAGCAAGCGAACGCTACTGGCGCAGTTCAGACGACAATGGATTTTATTGGATTCAAAATGACCGCCAAAATTGATGTTTTCGTGCCCGCGAAATCAAGCTACACATATGACCTCCCTACTCAAGACCTGGCCAACTTACTGTCTAGAGATCGTTTTCCCTTCTATGATTGCGGCGACCGGCCAACGTGGCTTGAAGGCCAATGCAGCTGAAAGACTCGAGCTATTTTCTCATATTTTACGACGGCTCATACATATTTGCGCTTCACACCAAATGGCCTAAAAGAAACAGCTTCATTTCGTCGGCTCTGATGATAGAGTAGCCACACGAAGGTTCAATTGAGAATCAAGAATCTAGAAAGCGACAACATGACGCGCGAAAATATCTGTCAACGCTTCTTAACGACATCGGCATAGATGGCGATGACCGAATCGGCTTGGAGATTTTATTGTGGATGATTCCATCTTGTAGCTTTGTTATTGATCGCCATATCGTATACGTCACTTAGTTCGAAAAGGGCAATGTTTACGGCAGCAGCAAGCAGTAGTAGTAGTAACCTTCGCGTCTGAGGCGTCAATGTGAAGCGAACGATACTGAACTTTTTGCCATATTATCACTTTGTAAATTAAACACATTCTGCTTAATATTCGACGATTGTGAACGCTACCGTTAAAACACTCGCTGACACGAGAGCTCTGATGAACAAAATCAAATTGGCAGCAATGGATTATGTCCAGAGTAAATACGAAGCAGCGATAGCAATAGCACCGGCAGTTGCAAATTCGATCGAGCACCATAAGACGAGTTAACAGTAAAGGTGTCATGGCATCACAGGCTGAAGCATACAAAAATTGGCAAATGTAACATATACGTGTCCTACACCGGTACGTTGATTAAAATTAGCCGGATAGTCGGAATTGGTGAAGATTAACAGTAAACAAAAACTACTCTCATCATACTTATTAGTATGTCAGTTTACCCGATTACAATGCTGTTTCCTTTGCTGAAAGGCATTCGTGTAATAACTGCAACTAATTACAAAACGACTCTAATATATTTATTAAACTTACTAAAGAGGCTCTACAACAGGGAAAGGTCACCGCGGGAATATCAGCTGTTACGGAAATCAAAATCAATTAAACGAACCTGTAGGTGAATGAAAAAAGAAAAAGGAAAGGTTAACCGAAACAACGCAAAGAAGTTCATCTACTTGAAATTGCGAGTAAATCCAATCTAAAAGCATATATATATATATATGTTTATTTAAGTGCCACGTTGACACCTACCCCATCGTATTATATCTAGTTTCAGACTATATACATACAATGTGTTTGTGTGTCGTCAGTTGTCTCATACAACCCGTGAATAGAGACTTTGTATACGATAATCTCAGTCAGTCGAATAGGGTGGGCTACGCCAGAATATAAAGATGAGAAGGTGTCACATAACAGAGCGGACGATGTGGCATTGTCATACTTTGCATATAAGAATTGCCATACTCACCGCTACGAATCATCGTCAAACATTTCGCTCTAGAGGTGCCACGGAGGTTCAAGTTGCTACCGGCTGAAAGATGAGATCGAAGTGCACTCAGCCATCCCGTCTCCAGCCACCACAGCTGAGCTAGACTGAGCCCCACACCGTTCGGGTTCCGTGGATTTTTAATTTAACCGCCACTTAATGGGTAGCAAGCGTCAATTGCCGCGCTGCATCCAGAGTAAATACGAAGTAGCGGTAGCAATAGCACCGGCAGTTGCAATATTACATGTCGCCACAGCAGAACGAACAAATTGAAGACATCACCACACCCAATGGAATCGTTGTTTCATCCATTCCCCTTCCCGTTTCGATCTCTTTTCCATTCAGTGCTTCTCGCGTGCATGCGTGCGTGCGTGCGTGCGTGCGCGCGCGCGCGCGCGCGCGCGCTCTCTCCCATTCTTTCTCTCTCTCTCAAAGTGTGAACAAGTTTTGGCGCGTGTTGTAACCCATCATAACACCGCTAACTGCAGTAGGAGAAAAGGCGAGACACGATTCAAACTAGATAGAAAGAAGCTGTAAACTAAGAGAACGTCGGAATTTGACACATGTGTCATACGATTCGATTGGTAACAGAAGTAGATTAAACATCATACTTTTTAAAACGCCAGTTTTGAACATTATGGAATAGCGTGCAAGCCACAATTGCACTTATCATTGCGAAACGCTATGCTTACCTAAAGCCATGCTGTAGCAAGCGCAATGAGCATAAATATACTTCTATGTTTCGAGTTTTACGTCCTGCGTCGCCATTAGCCATTGCATCAGATGAATAGCTGACAGCCCCCTAATACGCAACGAACCCCGTATCTGTTTATGATCGAATTTGAATTTCGACTAAACCCAGAGTCCCAGAGATTAGCAGGCAAGTACGTTTCCCTCTATGCTATCACGGAGACTGATTACACATACTTACTAGCATATAGCCGTTCCATATAGGGAGAGACATACTCGGTTTGAATTATCTGTTATTTTTTTTAAAGAACAGCTAGCAGAACTAATATCATCATTAAAGTTTGATATTTATAACGCACCTTTAAAGATTTCGACACTTAGGCACTAAGGGCGATGAGGCACTTATTGAATATGTCTAACGGGGACAATTACCCTTAATAAATACTTCCCTTGGCGATAAGAGTACTTTTGTGTCCTAGTACTCAATAATCTATAGTCAATCAATAATAATAATAATATAATAATAAATATTCAATAATCACTTCTATTACTTATTTATTTCTATCACTATTTTTTGATTTTCATTTTTTAAGTGTCTGCAGTGATACAACTGGAAGATCAAGCGTCTCTACCGTGTTGTATTTTTAAAACACAAGCGCAACATTAAAAAAATAGTATAAGTAAAGAAAGCTGCAAATTCCGCAGGGGCTGAGAAGAGTCACTGATCAGAAGGTGGTGACTCACAAAATCGGCAAGAAAACATCGCGTACTCTATTGCGATAAAATATCTATAGACAGCTTGTACTTTATGGAAATTACACCATTGGCATTATCATATATGTATATTTGGTCTTAATGGTGACAACAAAAAAACCATTCGACCTCGGGGAACCACCTAACAAAACATTTTTAAGACGGACACAATGTTCGGCCACAGAGAAAAATTGAAGACAAAAGAAAAATCAAATAATTCGTTTTTGATTACTGCTCGAACTTCACTTACGTACTGCAGGATCGTGATGCTCGAGAACTTAAATTTCCAATTGGCTTTCCAAAGGGGTCCAAGGCCCCTACTGAACTTCCAGCAAATGTTCTCTTTCTGACAACAAGCGAAATCATTACACGAATTATTTGTTGATAGCCAGAAGACTATCTCCATTGTTATTTGATTAATTTTAAGCTTTGACAGAACGTCGACGTGCTCACCAATAAATAGACACCTTCATTTTCTTACGGTAACACAAGGGTGAGATCTACTTGAGGGAAAGCTTTTGAATTGGCGTGATGGATATGTATATGGCCAATGAGAGTTCTTCTAATTGATCAGAGGGCGCGCAAATTCGAAATTGTACCAATTCAATATCGCATGATTTTTCTTACGATTTACAGTAGTAATGTGTATCAATGTGCGCAACCACTCATGGTGTGGCAAACATTTCAAACATACTTTTTTCTCAGCTGTACACATATCCATCGCACCCCTTCAAAGGCTCTGCCCCAAGTAGATTTCAGTGCAATGTTATCCATGAAAGTGGTCCTGTACGAGCTCGAAAGATGCTTTGCTCGAAAGAAAGGTGCCATAGGACCTCTGTTTATTTTTTTTTTCACTCTCATTTCGCCTTGATGCGAAAAGCAGTCTAACGAAAAGATAATGAATACACAAATCTATAATGCTGTATAACCAAGATCTATACGCTAGTATAACCGTTTATAGAAGCTGGCTGTCTGTCCGGACTATAATACGATTCTTAATCGTTCAAGCGATCGTGAAGATGAAGGAAGAGCTTGTACTACCCAGCTTTGAACGATGCTTTACAAAATAGTTCCCCAGTAATAACGGCCGTCAACAAGCGCGTGTTTTGCGATAGCCTGAGACCTACTCAACAGATCTATTAGCGCTCTATTAAAAGAGCACAAAGACCCTAAAAATATATTTGGATGGATCTAACCGCTCGACTATACATTGGATACAATGACGCTAACGAACAAAGCTGTTCCGCTTCACAGTGCCGCCGCTAGCATGGTTCAGCATCGTAATATGATTGTGCTACGCTGCGGATGTTTAGGACGAGGTGGAACTCAGGACGCCTGCAATACAAAAGAGGTGTTACAGTGTTAACGAGTCATAGCGAAAACGAGGCCTCATCCCACCTAATATCTTTGAGTTGGAATCTACCACATGCTTGAAGAAATCTAAACAAATTTCAGCTTGCTAAACCGCTGATGCCCTTCTATCGCTGGAGCCATGCACGCAACAGCTCCTACGAAGAAAAAGTGAATTACCAGCACACACTCATGTACACAGAAACGGCCACAAACCGGCTGCAGGTTCAAATATCGCTTTTAAGAACATATAAGACGTCTCTAAATGTGTTCGCTCGTTTCAGCCTTGCATCGAAATGGGTGTCGAAACGCTTGCAGCCGAGCAAAAAGGTGATAGCATTGGATAATGCTCGTTGGTCCGACTTTGATAGTTCGTTCGGAATTTAGGCCGTTTTCTCCATTCAACCTGTCTGCGGCCACACCCGCGACAGCTCCAGGGTGACAAAATAAGCTTGCGACAATTCAGATCTGTAAAGTGACTGTGACGTCAACAATTATACTAACAACAATTACAACAACATATTGATCTATTGAAAACGACAGGACGACCGTGATATTGTAGTCAGCTGAATGGTGAAAACGAAAACCCAGAAAATTGCTTGAAATTTATCGGTTCACTGCCTCCTTTTGATCTGCTCGTATTATCCAGTGACTTTGAACCTATTCCGATTCGACTCGCCACAAAACAGCTCGATGCCCCGATTGAGGCAAAAAGGTCCTCAGAACAGCCGCACAAGCATCTGACGACGGTCGCCTGCCTTCCTAACTGCAATATACTGCTAGATATAGATGCATACACGTAGATGTTACTTCATGCTTCCACATGCCTTGTACTCAGTGAAGTAGAAATGAAGTAGTATGATATCTATGATCCATATAATCGAGCTTAGACGATAGCGGTTAGCTCGACGTAACTAAGCGTTGCTTGCATAGTGAATAGAGCGTAGTACATAGAATAAAAGATAATTCAACATGATTTTATTTGCACCAGAAACAGGAGAGAACAATTGTAACATTTGTGGGATTTAATGAGTATGATATTGTAGTGCTAGTTGGCATTGGTCATTAGGATAAGAGAAAAGAAAGCCGATATGTGAAGGCAGTACCGAAGTGTATGGCCTACCAAAGCAAAACTTCGGGACTGGTTAGAAACTGTCCATCCAGCTGATTTCTATCGGATCGCAGGGAACGGGATACAAGACCGCCACTGCGGAAACCACGCTCCTAGTCGCCGTCGAAAACAGGCTTATTGGTGGCAAGGTTGCTCCCCGAAGCAGTCCATGCTCGTTTCCGTCATTGTTACTCATAGCGGCGCCAGACTGGATCCATGCTAAAGCGAAAGATGATGAAAGGGGGGATCGGAACAGTGACGGAAAAAGATGACGAAAGAGAAAGAAGGCTTAAACGTCCCACGCGGGAAGCTAATTGCCACAAGGTCGCTAACGCCTACGTGCCAGGTAGCTGCGGGTGAGCTATAAATGCCCTAAACTGTTAACCGTTATATGATCAGTCTCTAACCGATGATTTGAACTTCTACAATTGTAGATAAATCTGCGTTATTCCGAACTCTACGAACGAAACGTCACTGTTGCATACATATTATATAAGACGAATGATTATGGCAGCGTATTTTTATCAAGTTTGTAGATCGGATAGGGCAGGGTTTTAACACGAAGCGACCAGTGTAATGCGATTGATTCCCCAAAAACGCTGTACCTCTACTAATTTTATGTACTCGTATGATCACAATAATTGCGAATGACGCATTACACAAACCACTGCGTGATACCCGGTTGACCTGTGTAAAAATTTACAACGACGCTTAGACAAACCCGCTTTTAGAACTGATACGTCGATGGAGGACTTGCAGTTAGTTAGATCGTAAAGTCCTGTTTCTGTTACTAGTCCTTGAGCCATTTCTAACAAAAAGGAACCTCCACTGAGGCTTCGTGGTTCGAATTCTTGAATAAAACGAAGTTGCCTCACATCAGTGTTATAGTCATAGTCATTCTGTACATGATGTACAATTTGAAAACCTTTTATTACTTTATCCAACTGATATAAGATCGTACCAGTCCGTATGTGTCCTGCGATATCAACGACGAAAACTGCTCAGCAAGCAGCTCTCCAGAAACCCTTTGTGAATTTTGTCTGGACACTCCCGTACTGACTCTATTGTACAATGTCATACATGGCCTTCAAGAAAATCCCTTCATTAAAATGATACGAAATGTCTCTGAGATATCGACTTGCTCTTCCTAAGGCCTTCCTCTTTCATGCTTGGCTACCGTAAAATTGCATCAAGCCTCTGCAATACAATAGCTATCTCGCAATATCATCGTAGCGAGTCACTGACATTTGGCAGACAGATGAGCTGCTGAACGCTCGGCTACTATTCCGCGATCGACTAATCGCGAAAGATCGAGAAGACATGGCCGCAACAAGCGCAGTAGCAGCAGCCTTTTCGCTGGCTAGTTCCGACATGAATCTAGCGCAAACCCCAGGAGTCAGCTTCAAACAAATCGACCTTGGTGGTCCGCTAGCCATTTTGTTAATGCGAGCAATACAACGGGTAACTGAATATGATACAGTCATCTGATTGACAACGAAGAGCCCGGAGACTCTATCTAGAGTATATTGTCACAATGGGTGCACTGGCAAAGCGGTTTAATGAGGAGCATCTCCTCCCCAAACCAATTATTACAGAACGCACTTCGATCTTTGTCCAGAGACTGAGCAAAAACGGATAGAGTTTGAAGTAGATAGATCTATTTAGCTGACACTCCTGGCGGTGTATCGTTCATTAGCTGTCTGCGATTCGCTGCTGGAATGAGTTTATAATACTAACTGAAAGTCCGTAAACCTAAAAGACGGCCAACACTGCTCACTACGTTTATGCTCGATTAATGCACGGATCGCTAGTTTCTTTAAAGTATGATTTTTTTTTGGAACTTATTACTGGTACGCTGTGCGTTCCTTCTTCCTTTGATATCTTCGCTTCATGAAGATTGACGAAGGTAACGCGATTGACCTTTGTAATCGCAGCACGTGCAATGATTCTTATAATTTCTCTATGCGCATCATAATGTTCCCATAATACTTTAAAAAAAAAAGCCAATGGAACATATAATAGGTCCAAGATTCGTATAGGCTATTGACGGTATTTGTAATTGTGCAAGGCCAAACTGCCGGACAATATTTGGCGCATTTCTATACGTCCTTCGTTTCTGCGTCCCTTTAAAAGGCTCTGCAGCGTTTAAATAAAAGCAATTCAATACTTTTCGGTAGACTTCTTGTTAAAGGATGTTCCTTTGTCCACTCCGAACGCTGCCGCTATATGTTCTGCTTCATCATTTCCATCTGTCAATGGCATGAGAATGCTCAATTCTTTGGGCGATTTTTTCCAGTCAAACTGAGCAGTGGTCCAAATTAACAGCTGAAAAACTAATGTGGCTCACCAGCCATAGGCTTTGCTATGTGGAAACTTCTTCAAGATAAAGCTCCTATCCTATTTTTAAAGATAAAGCTCTATATAAACAACGAACGCCAAATAGAGGCTTTATGATAATGAAGCGTTCATGCATATTTTTTACGAAACAGCCACATGGCCTGTGTAAGGATTTTCGCTAACTAGCCTGAACTGGCGGTGATGAATATCTAAGAAGCAGACTGAAAAGTAACAGGATCCTGCGAAGTCGCCTCGAAGCAACGCCGGGCATCCTCAATTTCAGCAAGGCGAAAGCGTCACTCGGCACGTTATAGAACCGGTAGAAAAACAAACGGAAAAACTAATAGTGGCCAAACAATATGTATTTGAACAAATAATAGGAAATCAAAGAGATGACAACTATGATATTAATTGTAAAAAAATGAAGCGACAGGATTTGTATATCTCTGTCACAGCGTCATGTTACTGACGCCCTTGAAGTAAGTCCTATTCTAAACAAGTGGCCTCTTATACAATTAAATTGCTCAATGGTTGTCGATCGCACAACTCGAGTTATCACGAACAACAACAAGAAATACACAAAAACCGCACACATCAATTGCATCAAGATTTTTGCACGCAAGACAGGGAAAAAAAACTGCGCGACCATGGCGCCAAAAACCAGAAGCATCCTTTGCTCCGCCAAAATGCCAAATTGCAGATTACTAATTCTAATCTGCAATAATAGGTTATATAAAGATTACAAGCTCATAACAAAGAAGATGACGAAAAAATTGCGAGAAAATTTAGATCTGAGAACAACTATGTCAGGAAGAATTTGACGCACTCGAAAGAAGAGTCATGTTTGCCTCATGGTTGCATTGTCAATGATGCTATATGGGTGTGCGGCTATGATGTAGAGAAAAAGCGAAATTGTTAGAAGATTGAAAAAAGTTGCATGTTAAAAAGTGAAATTGTTCCTATTGTTTCTTCGACTATCGGGGAATTAACTCTGAATAGTGTGACCATTGCTAAAGACTGCTGTCAAGGAGTTTAAGACTTTGTTCGTATTTTTTCCTTTAAAATTTTGCTTTAGCTCCGTATTCATCAAATCCAATTTCCTGTACATTTGTTCCTTCTGGAAGCTCGAAAAACACCTAAAAATTAACGGTTTTGGGATGAACAAAACAATTAACGAAAAGAAGAGAGAAACAAACAGATTTATTCCCAAGATGAATTCGGACGCTGCCTAAATGACTGGAAAATATAGAAACAATAGGGCAGGTGCATGTATCCGGCGGGATGACTTCAAAGGGGGCAACTGGGACCTCGAAGATTAGGCCATAGGTCTCTTTCAATTAGGAGAACGATAAATATATTTTTGCACACGAAAGAGCTTAGAGCTAGACGCATAGCAAAAAACGCTCCACAAAAACCACTGTAACCCATTGGGATATGTCAAATTAAACGTAAGCTTTTCCATACATGACCATATTCGACTATGATCATTTTCCCTTCATATGGTATAGGTTAGGAACTATAAGTGATCTTTGCGTAATTCACCACAAAGTTCAAGAACAATTCAGGTAGCTCTGTTTATCTATTGTATGACCGGATATATAGGATCCTGTTTATCTAGTTACCAGTGTTTGCAGTAAGGATGATGAACCTTTGTGAATTAATGGCTGTTCAACTTTGCTAGAGATTGTTCCTGGCCTTCCAAGTGCAGCCCTATCCAGTCGCATAGAATTGTTACAATCTTCTTAGCCTAAAATTCGCGTTTGTCAGGGAGATCTAACTTAAAAATTACAAGCAGAATAAGAGCGTTTAGAGCAATGCTTGACGGTAGTATCAAAGAGGATATGTGTATAATCCATATTCTGGAATTGGTAACTAACTAAGCTGACACACGTTTACTGTCTGCGGCAAAAGCACCTAACGAAGTAGAGAAAAAAGTCCACATAGCATCGCTTATATAAGTTACCTGATGGCGTGTCAGTTGTGATGGTGGTAGCAATTGGCATATTGTATGAGGATCTTCTTATATAGTTGTCCCGCCGTTGAAGATTTGTGGAGTTATTAATAAAATAGTAAACATTAACTCATTGAATCTTTTACAAAAAACGAAAACACTGTAGTTCGTGTGAACGTAATTTATTTATTAACAACTATATTGAAGTGACACTTCAGTTTAAACACCAGCTCGGGCCTCTTATTAACAAACATGTTTAAAAATCATTGTCGTAATGATCTGTGAATGTAAATCCGTTAATATACACGTTATTAGTCGTAGTATATCTCACAGCACGGTCAACGCCTGCCTTTAAACTCTGCGCGCCAAGCTTGTTTTATATCTGCATCAATCCTATAGTACAGATTGTTTCGCCCCATAGGTAGTTTGCATTATGTGCGACATGTAAGTACATCCTTTTTATGTGCATATATATATATATATATATATATATATGTGCATGCTGACAACATCGATGAACCATTTAGCGAACGTATTTTTTTTACTGAGGCAAACCTTACTAAAATCTCAGTTATAATGTATATATATATATATATATATATATATATATATATATATACATATATATATATATTTAGTTATTTTGTATAGTTCAAATCTTCTTTGCAACGTCGTCCTTCGGGCAACCAGTAAAACTCAGTTTAACCAATTGAAGATGACAAATCTAAAAAAATACCGCGAGCATCTAGCTGGCTGCAAGGGTGAACTACACACAAAGACAGAATTGAAAGACTTTATCAGTGTTTTTTTTATTGACAACCTCTTTAAAATACTTCTTGCACTTACTTGTACACGTATTAGCTAGTTGTTTCAAATAAGATACGGATAATTCTATTAGAAAGTCTAACTATGTGAGATGCAAGACCTTGAAAACGCTTGTTGCGCATGCTTGCCGACAACCAAATTATGGAAAATGGACGAGACCATTACGTTGAAAACATTTTAACATAGAACCCTGCGTGTGTATATTGCAATATAGGTGTAGATGAGCGTTCATATAGATTGTGGTGCGAGTACATGCTTAGGATACGTTCGAGGTCTATAACATGGTAGTGTAGGGAAACTGAAGAACATTGTCCGTTGGTCTACTGCGAAAAAGGATCTCTAACGAAAGGCTAACGCGCTAAAGATCCTCGACTCCAATGCGTACGATTCACATATTTTCTACGACCACAAACGTATCAACACTTGCAATCCAGTAAGCAGCCTTATTATGATTATGTATGAATCGAACAGGTCCAAAGCGGAACTTCAAGTTAGCTCAGCTAATAGATGTAAAACAGTTTGCTAACTCACCACAAGCGTTCATATAACAGAGAACACGCATATAATTAAGGCTGCTTATTATATAGTTGATGTACGTTAGTTAGATAGCTGATGTTAGAACCCATCAAGTGTTGGCTTTATGCCTAAAGTGAACGTCGATGCTGAAAGAAAATTTTCGGGGGCCTATTGTTGAATTTTTCAGAGCAGGCCATTTTGCTCTTTCGCACTAACAGATTCCAACTAACTACCAGCAGTGTAGTAGTTTCGAAAGTAAGTCATCACAAAAAACACACACTGCATTTTGTCTACCTATCCTGAAGAATCCACCTGCTTATAACAAAACAAGACAATTTACGCGTGCTGCTACGGGTGAAAACTTTTTTAGCGTGAAGGGCACGACTTACTACGTTTTCTTCAGTGAAGCTGCTCCGTGCTTGAGCGTTTTGTATTTCTCCTTAAAGAGCCTTTTAATTGTGCTTTTGTCATTTTTGGTCGAGTTTGTTGAATCCCTTATGGCCTTCTGTTTCTTTTCTCTTTTATCTTGCGTCTTCTTTTTGGGCACAAACGTAATTCGATTGGACTCTGAAAGAAAACATCATCGCAAATAACGAGAGATTTCGAAACGGTAAAAACTAACTGAGGGAATTGCTAAAAGCCCGATATCAGGGATTGAAAATGAGAACTCTACTGATAAGTCAGCCATCCGCTTGAACATGTAGCTACATCAGGGGTTGTAAAATAGATTATATGCTTAAAAAAGATTTCTTAAACGTAAACTGAAGTTAAAGTAAATCTTGTTCCTTACTGTACATATCATATAATCGTGACAGCCCTAAAACGAACCGATGAACGTATCTCTCTTCGTAGCATATTCTATTAGGAAAAACGGCTGGTAGCTCATCGAAACTACACTATCAAGCAAAATTTATGAAAAATCTTATATACGTTAGATAGATTGGACCGTTTCGAAGTCCGCACGGCAGCTGCTACGAAGCTTCAACTCGCACAGTATGACAAAGGCACGTCTGCCCCGAAAACAGGCGACGAGCGCACTCTGCTGATACGATTGCTCTAACATTGTAGTATTTTCAGCTTAATAAGATGTCACTTACTGGGCGAAACGCTGTCGTTCATTAGAAGCGCTCTATGGCTTCTGGCATCTTCATCCTCTCTTCCAAGCCTTCTTCGATCCATCTCTTGTGCATCAACAACTTCATTTCGAAGTTCAACCACTTCGACCAATTTGTGAATAAGAGACGCCTCACGTTCATCGTCCTCGTTTGTCCTTTGGCTTGCTACAAAATCAACAAGTGGAATCATGCTTCAAATCGCTCCTTGTTTTAGATAGAATGCAATGTAATTCTTCACAAAGATGTGTGACATAGCAGCTGTCCAACGCATAAGACAAGGAGCAAAATGGCGAACATTTTCAAGTCGACATATAATCTTCAATCCTGCTCATTACTAGATAAGGCTAACTGGTTGCCAGCTTTAGAGGATCTTTGCCCTATGCGTACACGTCCTGAGTAAAGCCAGCGAATAAAATGTAATTGGAAAACCAAACATGGTCTCTTCAGCATAGTTAAACGCTGAGTTACAATTGAACCCCTCAATCGACCCCACCATAAGCAACCCCCACCGGGATTTTCAATTTGCTAGTTTGTACATGGCGGATAATCTGCTTTGACTTACTTATAGAGGCCAAAAACGAGCACAAATAACAAACAATATCACTGATCCTACTGAAAAAGCAATACGATTTAATAATCGGGAAAAATTGGTAGCACAGATCTAAATATCGATAGGGTGTGTCAGTTCACTGAGCATTAACTTGCAGCCTTCCAAAACTTCCGGATATGGATTGATCTGAATCTTTTGATAGGCAAAAGACACAAAACTAGATTCGACCACGTATATAAAAATAGAAGCCAAAAAAGAGCTTTATGACAATAAATAGGCTAAAAATGACTCGATGGATAAGCGATACTTATTAAGTTCAAGAAAGAGTTAATCATATAAGAGGCCCGATAGACAGTGACCTTCCTCTATGGGACTCTGTCTTTATTAGATACTAATATAACGTGCAGCCAGATAATATTCTTCGATTCAGTTTTTAAGTTTTAGTTCAGAGTTGGACAGTGTGAAAATATACACCTGCAAAACCTAAAACGATTTTGAAGATTTTCCGAGAAATATCTAGGCAGTACACACACAGCAGGTGGGACAGCAGTTTCAGGTTCTTTCTCGCACAGGTTCTAATCTAACGGGCGCACGCCCATCTATCAACCAATCAGAGGCAGAGATATGCCCTATGGCCGCCAGTCGTAACGAAGAAAGGCCCTATACGGTGAGCAGAGAGCTCATTTCGTTGGCAATATCGAAACGAGCAACAACTGCTAACGCACCCGTGCATTTCTCTACTACTGTGATCTAAGGCTTGAGGCAGAACAAGGTCTATGTCGTGTTGTTAGTCCAATATGTATACGAAAGCTGTGCTTGTTGCTCTCCTGCTGAATCAGGGTTTGTGCGTCGTTGGCCAGGAACTTAGAAAGCTCAAGCATAATCCCTCAAAAAAACAGCAAATAGACGATATTGTTATTGATGAAGTACAAGATGTTCACGTGAAACAGCATATTCTTATCGATCGAAACTATAATTCATCGTTCACTGTTTCTATACCGATGTTAACGGTTGTTGTGCCCGGTCAAAAAGAATCAAATGGTGTGGTTCGTCTGTCAGTTTCGCAAATCACTCTGTGGTCGCTCATCTGGATCTCGTTCATCGGTCTCATGTATCCAGTCTTTCTTGGACCCCATGGAAAGCTGCATCGACGAAACTTTGATGGCCAGAGTTACTTGGATGAAGCCTTTCGTTTTGATCCAACGATACTCGATCATATTGATAGGATTGTCAACATGACTCAAATCTACGAAGACATAATAACACTCGTGCCATGGGAGGTATCACAAGACTGTTTAAGCCGTAGCGTTTGTGAAGCACATGAAAACGTATTAGACTTCGGCCTAGCAGGAATGGCACTCAGAGGTGTATATTCAATTGAGGAAAATGGCTTATTAGGAGCTACCTCAAAAATGACCCGTGAAGCCGCTAGCAATGGGCAGAATCCTAATGTGAAATGTGAGGATATCTATTCTCGGTGCATGGTATCGCCACTTGAGATGTACAAAAAGATTTTGATGTACTTCCTTGACGAATGAAACGACCAAAAACCCCTTCCATAATACCAGCGAATAAAAAAATTGGATGATCTTACAATCAGTGGCTTAGCGCGAAGATATTTTACTAGCCAGCAAGTGGATGTAACGTGTTGAATAACGTATGTACGTATAAGATACGGCGACGAGGCGAAATAAACAAATGTAGCCAAATTATGATTCCACTAACTAATAAATGACTACCTTACCTCTGAAGGATGAAAGTGATCGATAATTCTCTTCTTTCAAAGCTCTTTGGCTGTGAGTATTCATTTTGTTGTTTTTTTTTTTTGGTCATTTAGTTGTTAACCTGGTCAAGTACAAAAGACATCTTTCAATAACAGATATATTAATTCTGTCGAAAGTTAAGTTTTCAATGGCGAAGATCTTTACTTACGTGGCTTATTTAATAGCAGTCGAATTTGGTATTCGAGCTCGATCTGCTCCTCTTCCAAACGCTGGTACCGCTTGCTACAAATTTCAGGCATAACATAACATAACATAGTATAGGACTGTCAGACATAAGGCACGCAGTGTTAGACAACGAAGTACAAACGAACAAGATCTTTAAAGCACCGACATGGAAAATACATTACAGAAAGCAGTTGGTACGGTTCAAACGACTACAGTAAGAATCTAGAAATATATGATTTTTGATGTTGAAATGTGTCCTACATTGGGTTCCTCTCAAAGGTAATAAAATATCCGCGTACTAACATATACATAAGTTCAGCCTGGCGCCTGTAAAGAGCATTCTTCTCATGAACTAGGTTAAATAACTGTATCATCAGTTCCTCTTCACGTTCACTAGACGCCAGCCTCTCTGGTTCGCTCGGGCCATCTTCTGATGCTCGACCACTGCTGCTGGTACCCTCAGATTCTGCAAGACACAATCATCTTGTTCGAGTAAGTGGTACTCGTCAACTGAACACTTGTAGCTTGAAATACAGAGGTATCGGAGGGCAGTTATGTATATATATAATGTGTTCACTTATCATTTATTGCCGAGAAAGAAAGAGGAAGCCAATAAAATGACTTCTCCGAAAATTTAATACAATGCACTCAAAAGAAGCTAATTTAAATAAAAAAAATACTTATATATTTAGTACGTATACCACTTGGGATTGGGGTTGACCGCTTCAGAGTCTCCTGTCTCGGAGGTGTAACCGACAATTGTCTCAATTTGAGTTCGATAGCTTTTCCGCGCGTCTCCAACTCTAACTGTTTCTTTTCGATTTCACGCATCTCCGCCTATAAATTGAACCTCACAAATGAATCGATACGAATACAATGCACTTAACTGAAGTAACTGGATCACTATTTATATTCTGTTCGTTGACAGCCTACTTTTTACTCTACCTGAATGGCTTTTAAGCTGACGGCTTGCAACTCCCGCCGCATAGGCACTGGTACCGATGGTGCAGGTCTCTTTTTGCGCCGAGCTTCAGTCATCATCGGAGGAGCCGCTGAAATAGAGAGAGAAATATGGGCTTGCAAACAAATTACCAAATGTAGTTCCAAAATTAATAATTTAAGCTGAACTCGCTGAGTGTATACGTTTGTGTGTATATTCTGCGGTACCTGAGTGGTCTCCATCGGTTGTTATGCCAATTTTCTGTTAGTCTGCACGACTTTCTGTTAGTTTGCGGCCATCGTAGGCCACCGAAACTCTGTCACTGACTATACGCATATATTTACATTTGTACAAGGTAGGTTATTCATTATATATATATATATATATATACCTTAAACAATGCTTACCTTTAGGAGTTGACGAAAGAACCATCGAAGGAGTTAAGCTTTTTCTTAAGGAAGTCTCTGCCACGTTTGTTTGAGCATCAGGGCGGGCCCCTTTAAGCATGGCGGAGGGTGTGTCGTTTGTGGGAATGGGCACACCAGAGGACATTGCATCACCTCGGGATGAACGCAATTCTATTGAGGTGAGTGAAGGTTTTGGTGGCGCAGGTGCTTTCTTCTTAGGTGTCCGCCGTAAAGAGGACGTATCGCTTCCATCGGCGAATGGATTTAATGACTCATCATAGGTGCGACCAACTGATTGAGCCGGTGTTAAACTTGTTCTAATTTCACGGCTGCCAATGCTGTTATACTGGCCCCGTTGCTGGTCCCCGGAGCCGCTGACTGACAGAGGCCGATCCTCGACGTCATCTTCATCATCTCCGAAGGGGTTTAAATCATGTGGATATTTCTCTTTATTGACTTGCACTACTGGAACACTTTTCGATTTTTCCGACGCAGATGGAGTTATTGCACATTCGGGTGTGGTCGTTTCCTCACGGTCCTCGTCAACGAACGGATTCAAAGATGCTGGATATTCGACTCCAACGATAGGCGTTTGCGAAGTACTGCAAAGCAAAAAAAACGGTAGCTTTATCGACATATGATTATTTAGCAGCTGCAGTGTTATCAGGATATAGTTTCCATAGGGTTCCAAAGAGAGCAGGGTGTACAGCTCGAGGACGAACCTTAACGTTATCAGAGATTTCTGACTATCATCTTGGGATGTTTTGCGAATAACTCCTCTTTTTGGTTTTGGAGGTCCAGGACTCTTTTCTACTTCAGTTAAATTTGATGAACATCGAGCTGAATTAGTCTGATCAACCGTTACAACATCCGGCGAAGAGGAACGCGCTTGTGGTGTAGTGGATTCCACCTGCAAATGATACCTTAATTCGTTTATTTTGTACTATAGAATTTAATGTGACCAGGAATTACAACGAATAATGTTTATAGTATTTTGTTAGCTAAAGGAAAACTAAAGGCAATAAACCCGTAAAGGTTATTACTTAAACGGCACAACGCCGAACATACTTAAGCACTAATTTGAAGTACCTTAACAATTGAAGTCGTTTGGTGATGTGTTGGCATAGGACTGGTAGTAGGCACTTGAAGGCTCGTCTGTTGTCGTGTTTTTTGACTATTCTCATTGCTAGTATGGTGAGCCTCGTTCATGAATAGATATGGACTGGGGGATCGTCGGCCAGCGTATGGACTTCTGTAATTAGTGTCGTCAGTGGTGAAATTCGACGATGAGGCCGACATTGTGCTGTCGAACTTCCTAGGACTAGGCCGCGGCTTGTCTGGTAAAATTAATTGCGAACATCTAGAAATAAAAAAAGAATGTATGTTAAAGGTTTAGTAGTGATGAGCGTATTCGTAAAGCAGTGAATATAACGCCTAAATAGGCATATCAATACGTCTGATCATAAAAGGAATCAGAATCTCATTATATTGATAATAATAAAGGTATGTTGTTGTACCCCACAATTATAGACGCACCCTGATAGCGATGATGAGGTTTGCATCAACGATGAAAGCGATTTCGACCTACCGTCGCCGGCCAACCGGGAGTCAAATACACCCTTATATCGCATGTCGCTTGGACGAGATACGCCATCACTGGTAGACAATGTTTTATCAAATGTCGACTTCTGTGATATTCTTAAACTGCTGGTTCTCTGAAAGCCATCACCAAGATTCGCCGGAAACTTTTTTGATGTATTTTTAATTGAGAGCTTCTTTAGACGTTCGTCGAGACTGGAACGTGGGACGCCCTTCACCGTCTGGTTTAATGATTCCGGAACTGGTACAGCGCTGAAAACTCTGTCACTTGGTTTGCTCCCTACGCTTAGCCTTCTTTCTGGAAGTGGATCAGCTTCGGTCGGTGTCTTCGTACAGAAACCGGCGGACAATTCAGATCAGAGTTATTTCAGGGTATTCGACTGACGGCATTCGAATGAACTACCTAAGACTAGAAGAAGGATGCATGTCTCAGAATTGCACCATAGATACAAGATGTTAGATACTAGACACGTATGCAGACATCGTACATTGGCAGTGTTATTAATGATGATTATTATTAGTTATTATTGAAGCTATATTTTTAGTTCCTATGTGATAGACACTCTTAAAATGTCGTTCATCTTTTACTATAAATAACACCACTTTAGCCTGATAAGACGCGAGTTTAACCGAATGATCCCAGCTATCCCGTTGATTTCTCGGTTAAACTTGCTAATCTAATTTGGCCTTGTTCAATACTATAGCTGTCAGCGATAGGTTATACTATAGTGAGGTTCTTAGGTATTCTGGCGTAACAATCTGGTTATTCCTATTCTAGTCTGATCTGACACTAGGCCACCTGTTAGCTTAGCAAATCGACATACAGTTAACCATGAGAAGCTATCGTGTCGCGGCAATCTACTGGCTTGATGTTACCAGTCGACATGCCCACTTCGGCACGAATACAGTCAGCGCTTACCTTTCGAAGATTTTCACGGAACTTGGCAATGTCCGGTGTGGTACAGATTGGTGCTTCCTTCAGCGATTTGGTCGGAGACGGAGTTCGGGAATTTTTAGGTGTACCGCTTCCTAGCTGTCGTTGGCTCGCTTCATCCGACTCACATTTGGTATTTTCTTTTTCCCTTTCAATGCTATGGATATCGCTATTTCTTTGATTGCTTTGTTGTGAATCCTTCCGAAATCCAGTAACTAATGCGATTGGCTTGGGTGCAATACTCGGTTTTTTAACATTAATTTTACCTTGGTAAACGCCAACTCTACGCCTGGCCGGTACAGACGCAGCTTTGGTTTCCGAGGTTTGCAGCGCTTCCGAAGATGTCAGAACCTGATCGGTGACTGTAGGCTTTGGTGACCTTGGTAGCGGTGGACGTCGCTAATTTTCGAACATCCCATAAAGGGAAATCATATATTGATGACGAATCATATATCAGCTGACATATTAACAGGGCTCACGTGTAAAATTGTGGCATAAGTTTCAAATTATTTCGTTTAGTATGCCATATATGATTAAGTCTAAGAGCATACCCGGAAGTTTCTCGTTTTACCGGGAAGAACCATAGAGCTATATAGTTTGTGTAAACATAACCCATATTAGTATTTAACAAACCTACCTCTACATGTTCCTTGCATTGGTTGTCGCTAATTCGACGGAGTTCAGGCTCGCTTCCTGAGGAAGAATGTGCCGCAAGTACCGTTGGCGTCTTAACGAGCTCACGACTAGTTTTCATTGACGATACTCGTTGTGAGGAATCCAAAGAAGCGTCGTCCTCCGATGACGACGACGATGACGACGACGACGCACAACCAGATTCGAACGACTCGAGCCTCCGACGCGTAACATCCAGTTCACTCTTGAGCATAAGCTGGAAAGAGCCAAAAAAGTAACCTCGGGATACTTTTCACGAAAATATAGCTTGTTTGCCATTTAGCATTTAACCGTACTATATACAACTAAGAAAACACTAGCACGCTAGCTAAATTTCATTTCTAGCAGAGGCCTAGTACTCAGTACGGCGTTTGAGAAACCGTCAGCATTTATCGTTGTATTTACCACGAGTTCAACGAGCCTAGTTACGTTATTTTACCTGGTGACCTGACTTATCTACAGTGATACAATTTATACAGTACATAAAACATTTATATACGAGACCCTTTGTCGCTAATGGATATACATCCCGTGGGGAAATATCTGTCAGCTCAGATGATAGCGTTGAGCCGATATTATGACGGTCTACAACCAATACTTATATGGATTTCTTGAAGAATATATAAATAAAGCTGAAAAAATGGCACAGAGAGTGAACAGATGGAGGTGTATTGTAGAGCTTCAGCTTTCAACAATGTCAAAATACTGCTCAGATAATTGTTATAGTATCCGACAACTACTGACGATACCATCAGACCGAAGTAGCGTAGATAATCAGAAACTATTCGTAGCTTATTCTGAGCCTCCTATGATCTTTGACTTATTGCTTATTATATATGCTTTCATGATGTGTGGTTTCGTTTGATACTTTATATAGATAATGCTTAGCCGCTGAAAATTACGGTAGTTGAATTGGGCTATTTGAAATGAGTACATGTGATGGCTTTTTCAATGAGATTAGGGAGCTTCTGTAAATATATCGTTATTAAAGTCCGGCTTCTCAAAAATGCAATATGGTGGTATGGTAGCTGAAGAGGGCAGGCGTTCTGTGATAAAGTTAAGTATGTGTGGGCCGTAATAGCTGAAATTCTTCACTGCAATTAAATCACAATGAAACAAAAATTGTGTTCGAGAAAATACACCTATATGTAAGCTAGCCGCGCTAACAGATTAAACAAGACAAAGACGTCTGTGCCGTTGATGATCGTTTATACATCTTCCATTATACAGCGTTATGGCACCATCAACGCATCCATATTAATAAATATTTACATGCAATATTCTGCAGCATCTTCAGGCTGTGAAACGTACCTTTTCCAAGATTTGAGCTCGTACATGGGTCTTATACATTATTACATATATGTTCTTTGATCAGTTCGTTAATTGCAATTCAATTTACTTCAGCCAACTGACAAGGCTTCAGGTACAAAAAAACGCCTTTAAATCCCCTATCGGGGTCAAAGTAGCGATTCCACAAACACAACTGACTAGTGCTAGTACAGATAGCAACTATGAGACACCTTTGTAAACTCTGGCCCTTCATCGTGTGGGCAAACGGTACATTCGTATCGCTCTCCAAGCGTACTCTTGCCTTCATCGAGGACGTCATCCGCTAATCCATAAGCACCCGGACTCAGGATCGCCTGTCAACAAAGCAAATAGAATTCATAACGAAGCAACCAAATCTATAGAAAATAACATTCAGTAAAAGTAGAGCTAACGACGACATATTTATTATAGAAAACGATAGAGAAAGCTGGCTTGTTGACGGTGTCGACAGACGTAGCCGTTTCTCACCTGACACCTGCAGCATCTAAAGCATGATCGGTGATAGAGTCTGCTCCCAACGATTAACCGCTCAAGAAGGAAAACTTTCTTATGACAGGCAGTGCATGGATTGGCCTGCACAAGGACCGGATCCTGTAAAAGCGTCAAGTGTCATATTAAGGAAAGAAACTAATAAACAATAGTTCTAAAAGAGTAAGTCACGAAATCGTAGAAAAGAAGGAACAAATAAGAATAACGTAACAATGTGTTCCGTACAGTATGAGAAGCCACATGCATAAACACGACTTTAACAACAGCGACGTCCCAAAACAAGCTCTGGATAAAGTATGGAAGCAGCTTTTCGTTTCAATTCAGGACTCGAATTTAAATTGTAACCATGGTGCCTGACTGTCAGAAATGACACTCTGAAAATATATAATAATGTTTGTTTTTATTTAGACACAGTCTTGTAATCTCAGCATAAAAAAAAACTCCCAATGTAAGTACCGTACGCTAAATCATTGACACAATCTATTTAACTCTACAGGTTGGCTACAATTCGGACCGTAATGCGGGGCAGCAGATATCTCTATTTTACTACTATTACAGCGCTTGATATCAGTTAGATGATCAGTAAAATGATTCATCAGACAAGGCTTCACTTCACGCCATTCACCTCCGTAGTTCAGGTCTCGTTACATCCCCATTAAGGTTCCCTATATTCTCACTGTTTGGCCCTATATAAATGTTTTTACATTGTTTTACGTATACAAGTGATACAGCAGCGACTCTATTAAAAGCTTATAAGAAAAAAAAAAAAAGACTTCAATAAGGTAATCGCTGGACCAACGGCATCTAGCGGTCACCCGTTTAGCCCGAAATTCGTGCCTGAAGTAGCAGTTTGAAGATGCTAAATGATTCATTATCCATATACGGTTTATTGACAATAGTTGTTCTGCGCGGGAACTGCGATCTTATGAGAAGATCACACAGAGCACTCTGTTTCTTGCTGCTCAATAGTATAACACAATACGTATGGTTTCGATTAAAAACAATGTTCTATAAACTAATTTATAATAGTTAGTTATTATTATTAGGGAAAACTCCCTTAGTGCGATTAACTATATATCATAAAATGAAACGAGTGCACAATACACAGCGTGTAGCTACACGTTTAGATTAACAACGCAAATCATATGCATCAAAGGCCATCTCTGATTCTCGCAATCTGCAACCCCAGTTGGAGCTACTCTCGGCAGAGTTCATAGCGTGATACCAGCAAACGCGATTCGACTCCATAGCAGCCTTACCAACCATTTTATTTGCACAGTTATATATAACGCGTCCCGTAAGAATCAAGACGGAGATGACGAGTCCCTACGTGTCTCGACCCAAACCAAAGGAACGTCGTCCTCAATGGGTCGAAATGACGGGAAACTTCACAAAGCATAAAAACTAACAGTTATATATCTGGGTCATTTGAATGGCAAGCAGTTATCGGTAGAATAATGCAGAAGGGTACAGCGAAGTAGCAATAAATACGAGAGCAAACTTATATAAACCACGTTGATGCTGTACGGGCTTAGGCTTAGGCTTAGCTCCATTGTAACGTCCGGCCGATATGCCCACCCAGAATCCTTAATACCCAATCGGGCTGCATATTAAACACCTTGGGCGCATAAAACCTTATTTTTCAGGTTATATTTTAACTTACTATTATTGCGTTAAATATAAAATCTCGCTTGACAGTAAGTGATCTTGAACAAGGGCCACATTTGCTGTGATTGAATTTTTTTGGGGTTGTCTGATACTATTTTAATTACAGTTACGACGATGCTTAGTCTCTCGATGTTCTGATTCAAGGGCAGCGTTTGTGTTTTGTTTTTAAGGTTTTTCTAGCTATGCGGTCATAGTATGACAGTTGACTATGGTGATTGTATGTTATTCATTTCAAGTTAAGCGCTGACATCACAAATAGAAAACAATTAATCATGAGATGATGAAAATCGAACCGAGTAATGATCAAATTTTAAAAAGAGAGTACCAGAAATTATCAAAGAATCAAGTGTCGCAGACGAGCTTACACAAAAACAGCCTTTATGTTGCCTGAAATAAAGTTACTACCGAAATAAAGCTACGAAGTCAAAGGAAACTAACGATCGCTAGGACCGATCAACGCACCGGTTGTTTAAATTTGAAACTTTTATTCAGGTTAAAATACATGAAGATAAGTTTGTGTTAGTTCGGTGTAACAATTTGGAACTTACGAGCAGTGCCATAACAAACAATTGTTGACAACGTCTACTGTTACAACAAATTCGCCGAATATTTCGTCAAATCAAAAGGAAAGTTTAATAAAATTGACAATAGATTTAACTGCAGCGTTTCACGCAGGACTTACACCACATAGAATGTACTAAGTTAGTTCATTAAGCATACAGCTGGGACACTTCCAGTTAATTCGATAGAAGTGAATATTTGCATAACCCAGGTGCATGCGTGCTTCGAAGGTGCGACTTATCTTAACATTAATGCTGAAATCACCGCCCTGAGAGACGCATAACGGTAATCGGCAACGCGTTACAGGACCAACAACGGCCACATTTGCCTCATCGAGTCTGTCCTTGTCCGCCAACTTCAGTACATAGGTGCACCAATAGGTAGAGTTGGACTAGCAGGAGGAACGAAAAGCCTTCAAATAATATATATTTGGAAACGCTTAACGAGTTTTCCACAAATAGCGATAGTCTGCGACAGCGAATCTAGTAAATGTGGAACCGATGCATAGCTTTCAGCCTGACTGTCCTCATGTTGTCACACATGAGTGTGACGAAGTTAGCGCATAGTTCCTGGAGTGCATTATTAGCATTTCCTGAATACAATTCGTAAGTTATCCTCAATGAAATATATATCAAAGGTCCTAGTGAAGAACTTCTAGGCAATTTGGATTCACTTCAACATATATGTAACTTTGTTGCATCATAAATCGCTCTCTCATGTACTAGTGTTCATATATATCGATTTTTGTGGTAGTCGAACTTCATTGAAAACTCCACACCATTAATAACACACCAAAAACGACGCTTCGCTCAGTTGTCGTCTTCGGTGTGCTATTCATGGCCATCGCTGCCTACTGGGATTCTGAAGGGATTGATCGTCGTCGCACGGCAGTGAGAAATCGTTGTGAGTATTCGTCCGAGAGTTATGCCTCTCACAGTGACCTATACAGTATACAAAAAAGATGCAATACTCAATATGAATGCCACGTCGAACTTCGCTAAGTAAATTAGCGGCAGACATGTTTTCGTGATGGGTAGCGTGTTTGCCTGCTGATCGGAGGTACAAGCTGAAGGCTAGGTCAGAACCCGAGCATAGAAACACTTCGTTTTATCCCGGGAACCAGTCATCTGATGAAGTGTCTAACGGCGATACCAAACGTAAAACTTGAAACACAGACAGCTATGGAAAACAAAGGCGTAGTAGTTTTATTGTTGTGACCCTAAGCAGAAATGATTAAATATATCACGATGACAATCGAAAGGTCACTTAGACCCGATCGGCATATTTGGTGCCCAGTATACGTGTAATGACTTTACGTTTTAAACAGTATACCGACGGAATCTTGTGCAGAGTACACCATTGTATAAGCCGTGATGACCCAAAATGTAGCAAAAATAGTCCTCATTTCATTTGCATATAGTAGAAAAATCCATCAATAACTTTCAGTTGTGGAGCATCAGCGAAAACATGCCTACTTAATGCAACGGCAGCCAACGGCAACGTGGCGGCGCTTAGCGAACGAGGGCGCACCCTGGTCCGTTTGATCTCTAAGGGCTCAGAGAGTCGTATTCGGAGAAACTCACTAATATCCATGTTCCAATTACACTTGTGTTACATATCAATGGTAAGAAGGCTACATTGAAAAGCAAGTACATTGAGAATTTATGGTTAAAAAGAACTCTTCGTTGAGTAGCTCGAGCCTACAGTACTGCTGATTTAACTTTCATTTCAGACCCTCGAAGTTAGCAATAATGCGAGAGAATTCGAGTGAGCGCGTCATCAGCCGTTCGGATCTTTGCATGTTCCTCTAGGACCGAGGGAACCGAGGCCGTTACGCAAGAGACGCGGTGATTGCGGATACAGAATCAGACTCAATTTGAGAAATACGTCATTCAGCTCATTGTGAGACTGTTATCAACAACGAAGCAGTGAGTTTTTTCCCGTCACACTATTCAGTTCCTACCCAAATTAGATCCGCTGTGGCTGAATGAAGGCGCCCATGACGCGGAATCACAGCTTCAAGAAGACGGCGTTCTCTATTGCAAAGTGAGACGGTTATAGCGCTAGAAACGTACTTGCTCTTTACTAGACTTGCATTTGCAGCAACGACTAGTGACAATATGGAATGGTAAATTTCAATGTTTAGGTTGTAATATAGACGAATACAATAGTAAGTAAAATAGCCTGCTGAATTGTGCTCTAAAATTCAAATTTTAAAATTATCGATTTGAGTACGACCGTATGATCAAACAATTGCCATAATTCAACGACTTAGCGATAGAAGTCTATTTCACCTCAACATCAACCGTATTTAACCTATTCTATGATGTACGCATATCTACTATTGAAATAGCCATTGAATGGTTACCGGGCATTGCGTAAAAAAGAATAACTCCAGCTTTCCAGTCGCGTCTAAGTCACTGATAATGGCGAAAAAACATGATAAGTCCAGTTAAATCTGAGGTGCCAACTTGTGTGAATTAGTGCATTTTTAATATAATACACAGGCGGCGACGTCCTCAGATATGTTGTTTTGTTGTGATCTAGATAATTTTTTTCAAAAAATGAACACTAATAAAAAAATTGGGAAGACCATTCCCGATACTGGCATTGTTTAAGCTTGAAACGGACGCGAAAATATTTGACGATCGTTACTATTTATTTACCCATCAAAATATGGCTAACTCACTGATGTAGTATACTATCGTGCTCGAGTTGGTGCGGGGAGTGCGTAGGTGATAAGAAGCTATATTTTCCTATAGTGGCGCCCTATTTGTCTTGACTAGTTATTTGATACAGCCTGTATCTGTTAAAGAAAAATACACAATGGGAGCTAGCTATGCCCGGTTTTAGCGATGATCTCGAAATGTTCTATGGCCTTCATCTTTTAGGCTTACTTGGAAAGGGTCCAGTCCAACGAAAGTGGAAATATAGTACCGTACGTCCGCTTAAGCACCTGATCAGGTAACTTTATCAACTACTCTCAGGCACATATCGATAGAATTTGCATTTAAATCATACGAGTATGCCCCCCAAGCGTTAAACGAATACGTAAACTATTGGCCCCTGAATCATTTATCATGATATGTGCCACTATACCTCTAAAGTTGCAAAAAAAACCAAAATACAAGTAGTATTAAGTGATGAATAATTTTGCTCGAGTCAGACGGCCATAGAATAAAATTTAGTTGGTGGAATGAAGGTGTTCATCGAGTCGGAGTTATCTAGAATGTAGCAGAAGGACTCCCATCGCACGCGTGTTTGTATGAACGCTGAATAACTCAAATATGGATTGTGCCTGTTATCTGTTAGTGTACTATATTGCTCGAACGGAAAAATGCAAATGTAACGAGCATCGTATCATAGGTCTCCTTGACACAGGAGACGATTTCTGGCAATTCAACTTCGTCTCCCTGTTTTTAGTAAGCCGCCATACAACTTCATAGTAACAAGTTATTATTGCAAAGCTTGTTAATGCGGGGCCCTCAATGCCTCACGGCAACGTGGCCACTTTCATAAAATACTCAATTGGTGAAATAAAAAAAAAACAAAAAAAAAACACTACTGATACAGTCTAATGACAAGCGAAGCTCTAGAACAACAACATTTCACTGGCGAGCACCACTCAGCGTTGATATGATATGCAAGCGTACCGTTCTATGGTGGACGACAAGTTCAGGCGACTCTGACCTCGTGGTTTCTGTTCCACAAACAGAACAGAAGAAAATATGTCGATATAAAACTTATGGTGCAGTAATACTAATGACAAAAATGTCATCGACGCCATGCATGGACAAAGCCGTACCACTTACCTTATGGCGTTACCTTCAGGCCTTTAGCTGAGAGAACAAAGCTACTAGCTTTCCTATGCCACTTCGTGTGTTGAGTAAAGCAAAAGAAAGAAGAAGGAAACATGCATATTGACTTCCCATTTCTACTTTATTGGAGTATTCATAACAGATGCAGTCATTATAGCACATAAGTTAACTGTATGTGCCTATTTATATGTAAGTGCATAATGGTTTTGTACAATGTGTGGTCGGTCGTATTGTACACATAGGTGCATGATTGATAAAAGCTGTAAATATCATCTTCTACGTCCGTCTAATAAATCTTTACGTTTAGTGGTTGAACCGGTTAAGTGAGTCTCTCACAGTCGTGCTATGTGTACATCCTCGATTGTTATGTTTGCGCTCTTATATTAGGACAGGTTTAAGTCAAAACTTCAACCTATCATTCTGATCGATAGGTCTATCATTTATAAATTGTCACCTATCTAGGTAGCTACTTGTTCGACCTTGCAACTTCCCTTTTTAACACACCACTTCCGTCAAGTTTTTCTGAGACGAGATCTTCTCTATCATCAATGCCACACACTATCTGATGCAGATGTTGTTGTCCTTTTACTTAATTTCACAATTCCAATAAAGATTCTACTGTTAGCAGTTACTTTGTTAATTAATAACCTAATATAACTTATTGAAATCTATTATTAGCTGGGTAATCTTCAGGGGTCGTACGTTCCCGTGAGAGCAATAACAATGAGTGGATACCTGGATATATATATATGCGTGGCCCTACACCAATTTCATTAGACATGTGCGGGTTGAAAAATAATAGGTTTAACTTGCACCCTTCGACTACGTTCTATCAGTTCTCTTTTTGTAGCTGACCTATATATGTAGGACGCTAAAAAAGTGCTGTGATTAAGATGATCGTTGTCCTCAGGCTACTCTATGGTTGTTAAAGTCAATCGGTTATTACGGCGTAAATCGTAACACAGAAGTGAAGAACGTATTTATTGTATGACTTGGTCACTATGATATACATTATAAACTAAAGTGTTTTAAACCATTATCAACGGTTTATACACATTATCGTAATAAGGAGGACGATTTCACGCGACTAGCGATTTCCTTTTGTGTTATCAGATATATTTTCCCAAAAGAAAGGAAATCGAGCGAATCTTCTATCTTTTTGGCGCGTGTTCCCATCTAGCCAGCTAAAACAACTGCCGCGCTCACAACTGTTGTCCAACGCAGGCTGATGGCCTAACTCACTAATATTATAATCTTAGTAATGATTTTCAATTATACCGGCAAATGATAAATGATTAGAAACTAAACGATCTTTTTGAGTGGAGCGGACATTGCTAGATTATGGCTTTGGTAAGTAATTGATTAAATTTATTTAAAAAGAGAAATGCGTGACTTTGAGGAACATTTCTGCGACCTCTAAGGACGCCCTTAACTTGCAACCTGCTTTATAAAGAGTCTTCACTAGCTAAAGTAGGTAGAAGGACAGATCTTATTGTTTTTTGTTTTCGCTACACATACAAAAAGTAAGATAGTAAGACTAATTTTTGATTTCCAACGTTAGCATTGACTTAATGATGATGACATCACATCAGGTATGTCCATTCGTGTCAAAACCCTATCCCCCATGACTATAAGTAAATAACTCGCAATAGTTATATAGATTTGTGGCGTTCCTGAGAGAGGACTTTTCTGGCCAACCACTTTGTAATCACTTCCGTTGACGCATCATCATTGAGACTTACGACAGGTCTTATGTTTCTATGGTTGCCCAGAAGCCCAACAAATCATGTACGTCTGTATAGTTGACCCGAAAGAGAATGTTGAACAGGCTGTTGAGCAGGCAAAACGGTCGGACCTCCAAGCGCATCGGTCACCTTGATCAAGTTTTTTTTTAGGAACAGTTCTACCTGTCAGCCGTGAATATGCCATCTATTCGCGTCATAACGCGAATACAGCATGCTGATAAACAATGTCTAGCAATAATTAGGACCACCGAAGGCCGGGTGGTCAAAGGACTAAGATGCCCATACGATTTAAATGAGGTAGTTGCAATGTACCTCTTTTAGATACGAGGGCGCTCCCCAGTCTCTGCGCTGGTATAGAGTGGGTAAGTATAGCATGTTGTTGACAACCGATCATTGCTAGCCAAGTACCAGTCTCTACACCTAAATCTTAGCCCATAGAGTAAGAATATTTCGCATGAACTCGTTTTCCGTTGTCCTGCTATTGGAGATTGTAATCACAGTGGTCACATAGCCTTTCTGTGCCTAACAACAGTCAGCGTAAAACGTGGTTCAGCATAAAAGTTCGCATGTGCTTTTTCTAGTGGACAAAAAGTACAGATGTTTAAAGCAACGAGTATCGTCGTCCATCTCCCCGTCCGCCTTATGCCTGTCCGGCCGCATACTCTTAGCTCATGGCTTATAGAATGATGCTGATCATTGTAAGGAGCTGATTATACCTTAGTGGGTGGCCCCATAGAGAAATTGTTATTTGATGATGCTGATCTTGGCGGAGAGACCACGGCGTAATTAGTTGGGGCGGGACCGGAAGTAGATTTCATACGAGACATGCCTGAAAAGCAACAAAGCAAAACAAAATCAAGTGATTTAAACCTCTGTCATCGCCTAACAGCCTCTCTTACTTCGTGTTATTGAAGTTTTTGTCTCGTAGAAAATAGCATCATCGTCGTTCATCAGGTACGATTGTACAGGTAAACTTTTCTATGATGTGTTATAAACGACACGTGGGACGTTACCACCAAATCCCTATCGCTGCTCAAACTACGAGTAACGAGATACGTCTTCATTTAAACGTTAATGTTATATCATTATAGTGAAAACAGTGAGCTAGATTCTGGATCAGGCTGGTTCTCACACGACAGCCTAACGATGGGGCTGATAACACGAAACGAACTAAATTTAAGAAGCATAGCAACGATGTTCTCGATGACTTACGGAATAACGTTAACAGTACAACGAAACTAGACAAATAGTAACAATCAGACCGTGCATACCTCCCTCAAAATACTGGTAGAATTGCGACACATAAGTAGCAATGGACAGCCTATCCGGGACGGGATACTTTTCCATATCTTCGGCGTCAAGTAAAGCTGGAATGCCTAACTGTTCTTCGGCTATGCGAAAAGCTAGTTGATTATTTTCCAAAATATTGCACGCACGCAACGAAGCAAAGTCTCTGTAAATGTATAAAAATCAGACGCCGCCGGCAGCGGCAACACATGTTGGACGATATGTTGTTAGGATCGATTCATCGGTTAACTCGGTTAGTGGTATCATTTAGCCTGAAATATATTCACTCGATATGAGCCCTCAGTCGCATTCGATAGATATATATATATATAGGGAACTCATTTGTTGGCTGAAATCCAAGGAATTGCCATTCTCAAATAATTCTCCATATTTTATTACTCAACGGCGATTTATATATTTACAATGGTTTTATACAGTTTTACTATTTCATGGTCGTATCGAATAAGGCAAATGATTGCCCGCGAAAATAGTCACGCCCCCCTCAATTCTTATCAAAAATCAATTTTTTTGCCTTAAAATTACCTATGGACATCCGTGTATTTATTATAGTTTATTGTAACATTTTTTTAGAATATTTTTAATGTTTTTTCTGATTAATTCTAATAAATGAACTTTTTGAGAATAGTTATTAAAGACTCAGCAATTAAAATAATTAATATATATATACATATTAAAAAAATTGTTTATACATATATATATATTAAAAAAATTGTTTATATATATATAATAGCAGAAATTTACAAAATACGTGGCGATACTCAGCAAACTGATACGGTAATAGATGTAGCGATGTTAACCATACAAGCAATGAATCAGCAAAAGCATGCGAATAAATAAAGTCCAATTAATTGGTTACCCTTGTTTTGCTGTTTTTTATAGCCGTAAAAAATAGAAACGGTACAATCGACTGTTCCATAGATATATACATTTCCCTGAGTCGATACAAAGTTTACGTATAGAAAAAGCTCGAATCGTGATGAAACAGGAATGCGTCGTACGTTTGTTGTATTAACTCGCAATAAAAAAGCAACGGTTCATTAGCACGTGATGATAGGTAATTTCTGTTGTCCACTCATTGCCTAAATGCGATATCATTTTGTGGCGCTGCTATCGCCATTAGTGCTATGACGATTACAATTTGAGTGAGAGAAAACGGAGAGAAGCGGTTTGTCCTTACGCGCGCTATTTCATAAAGGACGCTCTTCTAAGTCATACAGATATTACTATATGCATTGTTTTGTAAAATATATTCGAGACAGAAGAACATGCAAACCGGCCAGAGAGAGGGAAAGACTGAGACAACATAGCCTACAGCCGGAACTTGCCGAGTTTATACGTGCGCGTGAATGCCTCAAGAGGCGATCACAAAGCTTTAAACAGATCCCAATTTCTGCTAAGAAGATACATTCGGAAATTAACGATTGAGCAGGGAAACAAACGTCATTGTCAATTGCCAGAAGATAGAAAAACTATTGCTGAGTGTATTCACCTCGAGTACATACTCTCATAACGATTAACTTTACCTGATTCTTCGGACGAATTTTTTCACTGGTTTCTTACAGAAAATTCGGTATTGCTCAGCGATACGGCAGAAAGGTACACCTGATATCGGATGCTTAGAACAGCAAATGGTTACAAGTGTAGTTAGCTTCCTTGATTCTATTTAGCACACATCGACAAAGGCTAACATACGTCAAAATTGCTAACTTAAACTTTAATTTCTTGTATAAATTTCTAAAATGTGCACTTCCTACAAAGCCACAATTATCTTATGCCAAGGTTATCTTACTGCAATAGTATTTCGAAATCTCTTTAAGAAAATCTGTTTTTGCTCATTTAGAATCCTTAAAACTGTTCCCGGTTATATTTTCACAAGCACAGCATAGCGAATGTTTTTTTACGAAACCCGTTCGATATGGCCCGTCAGTTGGCGTGCAGCGTAACGATCATTTCCTAAACAAACTATATGGATATTGCCATTTGACAGAAGAATCACAATTTCGCCAATCCACCTGTTACTGCTACATAGAGAAGCCGAAAAGTTCGTCAGTTTCAAGTCCTTAAAAAAAGCCAATAAATATTGCCTTTATCGTCGAAATTCGACATCGGTTGTTGAGTCGTCGCGTTTGTTTCAAAATTGTAGATGCCCAATAGAGCAATATTTTGCTTTTACTCTCACAGATCATTAGCAGACAGCGCAAAGATGGATATGCGAGAAGACAATCCGGTAGGCAAAGTTGTTTAAGTCGTACCATCGTACAGAGATCTTGATTAACATCTTTAGCTGTAGAAGCCAAAATAATACGGTGAGGAAAAATTGCTGCTTGTTCTTTACGTTAATGTTTGCTCAGACGCTGCCATCGCCTGGGATTGGGAAATCCGCCAAAAGTTTTCAGACGTTTAACATACGGAGAAAAAGCGGGGACACGACAATCTTTCTTACGAGCGGTCAGTCACAATTCATTTTCGACGTTTCACTAGAAGGCGTCAAGGAGCGATAATAGTCTCTGCGTAAAGCTCACTTAGACGCGTACGAACGCACACACAGAATCGGCTATTTTTGATTTAAGTCTCTTACCGCAGTACAAAGCTTTTGATCAGACGCTATTCTTATTCTTGGCCGCCATTTAGCATAAGCGCAGATATAGCTACTATAGGGAAAATTCTCATGGCAGGGGGTTCGTGCGCATATGCATCTTACTGATGTACGTGCCGAAGCCTGATAAATTAAGGCTACGACACAAGCAATCACTTTACATTGCTTAATTAAATAACAGCAGTATTGCAGGACTGATTTTTGCTCGTTGTCTTCTTTTTTTTTCGTCCTTGTAATTCTGCTCACCGCCCTTTGTCGAACCTCCTTTTCGCAAGCCAGCTGCTTTTAGCTACTACAGCCGTAGCCATTGCGGTCGGTGTAAAAAGAATCGCAATGAGCACAATTCCGTTTACAATATAAATGCGTGTATGCCACTGCTTGCTTCCTCATATGGCCGAAGTGGCAGTCAAAACATGGCCTGAAAAAGGCAAGCAAAGAAGCCACCGATTATTCTGAAGCGATTAAATAGCTGTGAAATATAAGATTTAACGGCGGCTTTGGAAAAATGCACAAAATTCAGTAATTATTTGCTCAATATGCCACCGCCGCCGCCAAGTGACACCGATGGGTTCCATCCGCTCCTCCCTCAGGCAGCTCAGCTTACTGCTGGTGTTGTTCGGTAGTTACGGCTCCGTCGACCCACACACAATCGTACTGTCATAGCCGGCAAACTAGGTTGAGGTCGTGGAGCCGCAGCGCCAACAGCGGCAGCAATTGAGGCTCGAACAGCGTTAGCGTTACGTCTCCCTCGTTGCCGCGTTTCTCCTTGACGATACGAATAGACCGTTTGCCGCCTGCCGTCTAACATAGCTATTACAAAACATGCGCAAAAAAAGAGGATGCTAACAACTTCATGCAGCAGCACACGGTGGCAGAAATAAGAACAACGGTCTTCACACTTCGAGAAACATTGTGAATTGTCAGATTGGAAACAGATATCTATGATATACTAATCTATGCGGGAACATAATCAAAACAGTGGGCGACCACCAAGCCTCTGCTAGCTTTCTTAGTAAAAAAAGAAAACATCAGCGCCAACAACGAGGCAACACTGACAACAGGGATAGCATTTTAAAAGTGAGTAATCCGAAATTGTGCGGCCTGCTAACCGCCCCTCAATAAGCATGCACACATGCTCCTGTATGTTCGTACGTACACATGCACGGAGGGACAAAAAGCAAAATACACGATATCACACAACTGGCACACGTACGTACTGCAGGCGGTAGTGAAGCTTACCTATGCAAGCTTTCAGGACAGTGGCGGGGCGGCGTATGGAAAGATTGCTCAAATTTAAAACGCCGGCGGCAATTGTAGAAATGCGTTTGGAAGCTCATCAGTTATTTCGTCTGCAACGGCACAGGCCAGACACAATTGTACCGACAATACCAATAGTAGGAACGAAAATAGCAATAACAACAAAAGACAAACATTACTACGCATAAAAATAGCGCCAGTAATATGTTGTCGTTGTCCGATAATGAGAGTTGTCAATAATTGGCTGTCACGAGCTGTTGGCTATTGTTGTCGTGTCATCCTTTCATTTTGCTGATGATTATGCTATGGATGCAGCCTCAACTTAGCTAGACGTAGCGGGAAAACTGATAGATCATAATGGTGAATTCGTCCATCTGTCTATTGTCTATCTGTGCTTTTGGACCACAGTTTGTTAGCAAAGCTGCGGCAACTGTCAACGCTGTCAAAACGGAAGTAGTTTCGAGACGCTCTAGTGGATGTTTTGCAAACGCCCAACGTCTGTCCTATAACCAAAGCGATGCTAAGTTCTTGTTTAGCACTAGTGCATTTCTTGCTGGGAGGATACTAGAGGGGCGTAGCGGGTAGGTACTGGCAACCCTACAATCAACCCCCTGCAGTAGACATTACTGTTAATATCCAATACCTATAGATATTCATAGGAAGCAATTAGGCTTATTATAGATGCACTATATATGTAATATGTGTGTGTATAGACCAAGATCAGGAGTAGTAACGCTGGCAGTTATAATTAGAATGGAATAGATAGAATGGCAGATGCGCTGATGCTGGCGGAGACCGTAACGATGAAAGGGCACATGTGCAACGCTGACACCATTGCGCGATCCGCTAACGGCACGAGAGCTGACGCTAACTATGAAAGATTACAGCGACTAACTAGCGTCCCTATCACATTGTCAACAGTGACAACAAAAGCAGACGAATCAACAGGCGAGACGAGCCGAGGCAGATTTGGCTGAAAGGGCGACGAAGTGCAGACGAAAATTTTGTCGCGATTAAATACTCTCATTGTGCAACAGACGACAACGCCAACAGCAATCGGTGGCTACGAAAACAGGCATAGGATTGCAGCGGCCCCACAGGTGCCATTAAAACTGAAGTACCATCGCTAACGTGGATCTCGTGTCCCATAAGGACATACCAACACAGCACAATAACAGACCATAATGTCCGCTGATTGAAGGGCTGAAACAACACATATGCCCAGCATGATGCTTCTTTGCGCCCTACCTTCCTCCGACCCCGTCAGGCTGCTTGATTCCCTACTTCTAGTTCGAATATGATCATTATTATTACTATTATGTAGTTTGCACGTTTCATCGTAATGCGTTACAATATATACTTTTCAGCGATAGCATAGAGTATTCAAGTGTTAAAAGGTGAACGATTTAGCCATAGGCGAAAAGCAGCGCCAGGAACAGTTACGGCTCGTACTTTGTCAAAGAAAACGTTTTACTTTGTTTGCCGTTCGTTGTAACCGCTGTTGCAGGTAATTGGCGTACCAGCCTCATGATGACCGCGTAAGACGACAATGGTCGTTAGTCGTCAAAGCTAAAATGAAAAATTAAATCACTGGAACACACACACACACACACACACTCTTCTAATGTTTGGCCGTGTATCTATAAAGAAGAGCACGACACTCTCAGTTGCACGTATGTCTGTACCTTCACACAAATACGTGCCACTGCACAGACCGATCATTTTGCGTACGCACACATACACACCGTGCAACATCGGCAATTGATTAAGCAATAAACAATAAATAACCGACGCTGCCCTAACAGTAGCGATTTGTGTCCGTTAATACGATTCCACGTACTGCAACACTTCTTCTAACACCATTCAATAGCGTTTAATATATATAAGATCCCAATTAGTGTGGAGACACTAGGAAAAACTAGAGGTTTTATTGAAGAAAATCAGTGAGTTGGCTCAATGGAACAACTCTACGCCCTCTTTCCAGAGAATTCACTCCGATTGCTACGAGATGATGTAACAAGAAAAACAATACTCGACAATTAGCTTAAAAAGAATATTTGATATTTATGGAAATAGGTAATTGTTTTTTTTCCTATACGTTTCTCGCCAGCACACACGTGAAGTCAAAGACAGATATGATGATGATGATGGCAAACGCTAACAACGAAGAGTGGCATTTTTTTACCTTTCTGACTGTCATCTGTTTGTCTACACAGTCCCGATCGTCACCACAAGGGGGCATTGCTCATAACGACAGAAATTTGCTTACGACGCAAGGTAACTGCATATCAGTGTCTACCGGAAAAGGCCAGGTGCACCGCCAACTATCCGTCTTCTAGGAATCGCCTCTAAACAGTCGGCGCCCTGTTTTGCCTAAGCTAACCATACGTTAGCCGGGGGCTATTTATACGGCTATTTATAAGATAGCATGATTTACAAGGCGATCTTTTACGCTGGGCGAAGTGGTGGGATATCAGCTAAAAAAAATCAACGCATTTATTAAGCACGATAATCCTGTCCACTTTTCCAAGCGTGCAGTGGGGCTGCCGTACAATAGTAGTAGAATTTCGAAATCTTCACATTGTGAACATTTGTATATACGACATGTAGTCAAGTTTGCAGTAAACGCTTTCGAGTGAGCAGAGCCTCTCATAAAATGACAGATTAAGCCGGTGCTTTTGAACTAAAACAAGCTCATTAACTATATAGTAGACGCAAATCCCGGTACTAAAAAATAGCCATTAAAAAACCGTAAAGCAGTGTCTATTACAACTGCTGCACAGTTATGTACAGATACATTGACATGGGACAGACCGCTGCCGGAACACTACGTTAACACGAGTTTTTTTGGTTACGTATGTATCAGTACCTGCCTACGAGAAGCGTAACACCTTGAGATTTGTGCCAAATTTCTATTAAGAAAATCTTGTTTCGTCCAGCAGCAGCGGCAATACCCCCATACACTTAACAGCGCGTCTATGTTTCAGTTTTAATGCCGCTTGTTAGCTACATAGAATAGATGGGACGCTCTTCACCAAAAACTCGACCCCCGAAGGGAAATGCGCGGGTGTCACATATAGCATGCATTACTAGCAACATTGTTCAGCCAACGCCACCATTACACGGCTGTTACAGGATGTAATCTGCATGACGACAGAGCCCAAAAATAGAGATGAATTCAGCTCTAAAGCTGATTCCGAAGCCCAGGCCAGCAGTGGCTCACTTGAAGCGAGTTACTCCAGTAAAAAAAAGCCCTACACCGTTTGTGTATCAACGTTGAATATAAAAGTGAGTCAAAACACTGTCCGATGGATGTTTGTTAGCAAAACAACGGTTGGTAAGTTAATTCTTTAGATGGTGGAAACAGGAAAACGCTATTTTGAACTAGGTTCCTTCACGAAACATACGTGTAACCCATAATGCTATAGATAGTCGCTACTTTAGCATTATACTATAGCAGTGATTATCTGTCTATGAAATCTGTATTCTTAAACTGAATAGTTCTAACTTAAATAATTGCTATTTTATGTTGGATATGTAAATGTTAGCACATGCAAACTGCTAAGGTGCCTTAGTCGGGTTTAGAAACGGGTCATTTCTTACAGGTGCAGTTTATACACGAATTCGCGTCCCACGTTGTTGTGGGTCAAATAGTAGCAACGCCGGCAGCTGTTCTGTCACCGCATGCATCTATCGTAAGGAAAGTATAGCAGCGATGCGATCGGCAGCCGCATCGCTTCTGTTACCACCGTTGCCATCATGCATCGTTCTAGTACATACGTATATCGCCAATACCAGGACTACAACAAACGGCAACAGCGACAATCGAAACAACAACAACAACAGCTCGAGCGGGCTGAAAATGAAAGAAAAACGTTACGAGCAATCGTTTTCTTCGATAAAGATCTCAGTTCATCTATGAGGGCCGGACAATAGAAACATGGAATTGGCAGGGGGGAAGATGGACCCGAAGCCTTGCCCTAGTTATTGCAGGCTCTAGTGAATTGCTCGTAGCTGCTGTTACAGTAGTGACTGTGTCTGCTGTTGACCAAATCACTTGTTTGTCAATACAAGTAAAGCATGCATCTGTACGTAGGTCCTCTCGTATGTCAGCTTCTTTATCGGCGACGATCATGCGCTGAGCTCTGCGCCGCACCCTACGACGTTTCGAGCAGAAGTCATCAACCGAACAACGGTGCCAATACTAACGCAGGACCGATCACCACTGCTACGATTGCTTTGACCGCTCCCGCCAGCGGCTTATGCCGATCGCGAGTAAACTCTGGTAGGCAAATGCAATATAGCTATACAAAAGCTCTAAAATACTGTTAGCGCAACCGCTTGCTACCCCTACCATTCTGCTAAGAATAATTATTATTATTATTTTCAACACCGTAAGTATAATATTTACTTTATTTACCCTGTCTAAGGCATGGGCCATGCGTAGCATGGGTATTAATGGTAATCAAATGTGGTAGTAGCACGCAGACGGAAATGTTCGACAACATCACGCACATTGCCATTAGCAAGCTGGGTCACTTTTCAAAAGAACCACTTGTGATGCTGCGTTGTATTACTTCACTGCAAACTCTACCCTTACATATTATTGAACGCTTGAAATGCTACGAACTGGAAATACAGTCAAATCCCCGCAATTACTCAAACGGACAGATAGTCGTTTGCTGTTGTGAACCCGATTGCAGGAGGCTCGGACCCTAGAAAATGTTGACCTATAATTATTTTGTCACACGGACGGAAAACCGAAGCTGTATAGGAGGACTCACCGTCGTTCCCTTCATCGGGTGCTAGTTGCAACGACTGACTAGATTACAGATGAAAGTTCTGGAAATTTAAGCTCATGATATTGGTTGACAACATCTAGATACCATCCAGCTGCCACGGTTATAGCTGCATTTTCTGACGCTCGAATATAGAGCACCGCGGTCACCATGCTAGCCATCCGTCGCCCGTTTGTGCGTGCATCGATTTTTGCTTGCGTGCACGCATTTACGAGATACCAGATGGTATAAGATGAAGCTCTTAGCTTCAGCCTTTACGCCCGTCGTGTAGAACGTTGTATTCTTAAACAGCGTAAAAGGAAACCCATCCGAACAATTGTTACTTGCTAGCAAAAATACATAGCAGCTAATAGACTGAGTTGAGTAGTCGACCACAGCCGACGCTTCTGCCGTAATACAACGGGACACGTAAGTGAGCAAAATATGTTGAAGTCACTAGGGACGCATCAGAAAGAAGATCGCTTCACAGTTAAGAACAAAAGTAATCTTGTTATAAGGACGGCATTTATCGTAACTGGAAAACTATTTTATACTGTAGTTGAAAAAATCGCCTCTTCTCACATAAACGTTTTTCGCAACCTGTGAAATAATTGCTAATTCTACTTTATGCACAGCAAGGGCATTGAGTTTCTGGCTACGGCTCGAGACCGCAGCACCACGTGTTGAAAGGTCCAATCTGTATTAGCTGAGAACTACCACTATTTGTGGGGATCTGTTGTAGCGGGCGTGGGATCACGAGTTATTTTTGCCCCTAATAGAAAATTTATTTTCTTTAGACCCAAACCACAAACCCATTGTGATTGAGGCAGAAACTTCATCTTGACAACGCCGGAAAGAAATCAACTTTTGTTCGATGTCTTTATCCTGGACAAACCCGCACCGTGATAATAGACATATAGAATTAGCGGTTCCTGCCGTTTCCACTAATTGTATGACTCCTGACGAATTGTCTAAATGTAGTAAAGCGCAAGACTCTCAGGAGAAATTTCAGTGAGTGCGCTTCAGAGTGTATCATAAGAGCACAAAGAGCTGTTCCGTACGACAAAAATTATAGGTTACTTTTCCTATAATTTCTTCTTTCCTTTCTTAATCTTTATTATCTATATTTCCTCTTCTGGAGGGTCTTCCAGATGCACTTTTTTGAGCCCCTCGCACCTTTTGGGCTTTTTGAGGCTTCGAATTATGTTTATAGGACTCTTAATTTACCGTAAGCACGTTTTTCCTATGTAACGAGGGTAAGACTTGAACGAATCTCGACGTACCAGTATTGCAATACTCGCGCCTGCTGCTTCAATATATAGGTATCATATATTAGAAAAATGTTTTTTTTAATTTCTCAATGAGTGCTTCGGACTTCAAGTTAAATCCATTTACTTTAATAAACAACACCGTCAGGAACTACCTTGCCGGCACATATGAAACAAAGTGCATTATTTAACATTTATCAACCGGAATATGATATAGATTAAGTTTCGAAATGGATTTCATTTGGTGGCAAGCTATATCAGGGGCATATATATATGCCGACTTACCATCAGTGCTGCATCTTGGAAAATAAGCAGTAGTCTAGTTCGTATTATATTCAACACTATATTCAATGAAGATAACTCACAATGAATCTTAAGTTGTACTTATATTATTGTAAGGAATACTTACATCAGGTCGGGCCGATAATGATGAATGAGTGCGCAGAATGCCAGACCATCTCTCCAGCTTGAACTCATGTCAGACACTCGCACCCCCGGATAGCCCTGAGTTGCCTTTTGACACCAGTATTGTAGAGCCGACAGACCCCTACGTTCGCCAGACATATCGGTAACGTCTAGGATCGGCAACACAAACAAACACGAGAAAAAAGACGACCACAAAATTAGTCACAATGCCTAGTTTAATTCCTTACATTTAGGACTAGTTGTGCCTTACCTACTTAGAAAGTGGCTTTAGAAAATTAACTGTTTGCATTGATTTGAGCTCAGTACATTACCATACGAGTCTTGAGTCCGACCATTCGCATAGACGGTGGAAGATAAACTACGGACTTCATTTCCCTTTGTGTTTTTGCCATAAGCAAACAAGCGTTACGATAACATATGATGATCTATGCCGATATCCTAACAATGGCCACATTGCAGATCAGCTATGATGTTTCAGTGCCAAACTTTTTGCTTTCTACATTTAATTCGGTCAGAATACAACAGAAAATATAATTATTAGACAGGTATGCTTTCTGATCTTTCTATATGCGTGCAAGGTCAACTCCGAACATTCGTCAGAACAACGCCTACAAATCACCATTCTGTCTATCATATAGTACAAGGTGATACCGGCGGCCGAACGCTAACATTCAAGTATCGCCAATAGCCAACGACAAAAATTGCACCGACCAACTACCATCAACCGTAAGTAGAAAAAAAAATTATAGAAATAATAAGAATTGCTAGGATTTAAATCGCATATAACGAGCGATGTAGTGGCCAACAGGCGACTAAAAAAAGCAGCGTAGGCATTTTCTAACGGTGAAGTAGATTAGTTGACGCATTCGGTAATGCAAAAAAGAACTTTGAAAGTTTCAAAACGATAGTTATCATTGCATTTATTTATAATATGTACTAATAACTTCTTTTGTTTTGTATGGATGACAGCTTGGTACAGTTACTCTATTTGCTTGTGTCAGTGATTGAGTAAGTGTATGAGATGAACGATTGATTCGCTAGCGCACCGGTTGAAGACCTCACTTAGTTCTACTTGAAGCTCTCCGAGATGCACCTGAAGCTTATGGCGGCACCGTTCGGGATCCTCCGTATGCAAACGTTTACTGATATACAGAGAGATAATAGTCATGGCGAAAAAACTGTTTGGGTGTTAACTAATTGGCAACACTTTATCCAACTAACAATTTGTAAATCAGTAGCGTTAAGAGTAAACACACGACAATTCACTCGGCTACAAACTAACTGACGAACGGAATCTGCCGCCTGGTAACAGTGACATCAAACGCCATAAATATCAGTTTGGCAAAGGGGAGAATGATTGACTTTAAATTGGCCCGGTCGCAACGGCCTGCATACAACTGTTACTAGACGCCTCTATTGCAATACCTTTTCGATGAATTAATAGCCATAACAGAAACGCTTGTTGCGGATAACCGAAGTGTCTTCCTATCTCCCGCGTTCTAATCAACATAAAAAAAAAAAAAAAAAACACTTAATATATGCGTCGGATTCGAATGTGCGTTAGCGGCAAGGAGTTTTCGAAGCAAGCCGCGTTACTTTTTCTGGTGTTGTTATTATACACATCACACAAACCACAGCATTGCATGACACACAAAAACAGTACTAGCATATCTCCAAGGTACCGTCTACCTTAATCAAGTGCAATAATCATTTAAACTGTGTGTTTCCTAAAACAAAACTTTTCGTTCCCAGCAATGAAGGTACACCATGCTATAGTGGACTAGCGTCGTCAAGCTTGCTGTGAACCTTTAACATATTCAGCCGGTTGGCTTTCGCCGTAAAAACGGTAAGTGACCGCTATTTGTAACGACCAAAGCTTTATCTATCGCGGAGAAATGCGTAGCGTCGAGACAAAATCTCGGAATCGCCGATAGAACACGATGGCGACGGCGAGAAGATAACCATCGAAAGCCGCGACGACGCCGGTGTCGACGACAATGCATCGTGAAAGCAGAGGGATAAAGAGAGACGATACGAGACTGATATAGGATAAACGCGAAGCAATTGAGTTGCCGATAATATTAGCTGGTTCGCACATCTCGTTAAATTAGCCATTCCCTATTTTAGAATTGCTCGAACTGGCATTAATTCCCTGAAACATACATTCCCTCCAT